CAGCCCCAACTGGCCCTCCCTCTTCTCCCCCCTCCCTTTGAAGCCACATCCTCCCAGCTCAGCCTTATTCCCTTGTCTAAAGGGAGAACCTCGACCCTGAGAAAGGACCACACAGCCCTTGACAGCACCTCCACTTACACTGCTCCCCTGGGTTCACTCCAGCATGTATATTTTTGATATTACCATAAAGCTCCCAGCTCAGTGGCTTTTACTATATTGACCAGGCTGTGCAACCATCACTGCTAATTCCAGAACCTTTTCATTCCTCCCCCCATAAAAAGCTGTACCCATTAGGCAGCTGTATCCATTTCTCTATCCCCTAGCAATGGCTCATCTCCTTCCTGTCTCCACAGATTTGCATTCATGGCCATTTCAGAGAGTGGAACCACACGGTGTGGGCTTTTGTGGCCAGCTTCTTTCACTTACCTTAACAGTTTCAAGGCTTGTCCATGTTGTAGCGTGCATTAGTGCTTCATTCCTTCCGCTCCCGGCCACCACAGCCTCGACCTGCTGGGCTCCAGCGATCCTTCCGCCTCAGCCTTCCAAGTAGCTGGAACTACAGGCACATGCTACCACACCCGGCTCATTTGCCCAGGTGGGCTCAGGTAATCCACTCACCTCAGCCTCCCAAGGCATGGTATTACAGGCTGAGCCACCAAGCCCGGCCCTAAGAGTTCTTTACATACTCTGAATGATAGATTCTTATCAAGTATGTGATTTGCAAATGTTTTCTCCCATCCTGATCCTCAGTATCCTTTAACGGAGACGGAGACGCACCCAAGGCTCATGGCACCCATCCAAGTCCTGTGCTCAAGACCATGTGGTACCTCTAGAAACCTAGAATAAACTTAGTTTACTCTCAGCTTAGTCTTTTTGCCTCAGCTTAGTCATTTTTGCTTAGACTTTAACCCTGACACGCTTTAAATCTAACACAGGTTAGACACAGAGAAATTTCCAATAGACAGGTTTTAGGAAGCATTCAGACATTCGACTGCAGGCCAAGTGGCAGACTCCCCTACCCACTCAGCAAATCTCCATCAGAGGCAAGACAAGCACAGAGCCATAGAAATCATGGACCACCTTTTTGGTCAAGGAGTTTGTGGATTGCAATGTCTGACAAAGTCTCTTGCAAGAAAGCCCCCCCCATCTCCTCCCATCTAGCTCACCTGAGGGCATGAGATGCTAATGTCTGGCGCCCTCAAGATCTAAGACTCATGTGACTAACCCACCCACCTGCCTGATGTCCTCACCTGATGGCAGTGTCTGCACTTACTTGCTCCTTTGTGATGACCCAACCACCTTAATGACCTTCCCCGATCCAAGGGAAATGGTTAAAAGGACTCAACCACCAGCAGCCATCTTGCCATTGCCAGGCCATTGCAGCCCTCGCCTTGCTGAGCTATGGTGTGGTCATGTACTCTTGAGCTATGGTCATGTTTTCCTAAGCTTTGGCCCCCTCCCCTACCTTGGGGAGGTGAATCTCCTCTTTTTCTTTCTAATTTAATTTTTAAATAAACTATATTTTCTGTGCAATTCTTTGCATCTTTCATGCATTGGATCGCACCCCACACTCCCCACGCCCCCAGTGGGCCTAACATTCTGGAGGCCCTGCTGGGAGAGTGTGACCCTGGCACTATGGGAGCGCAGAGTCTCAAATGTGGAACCAAACAGTTTTGGGGTCCAGACAAGCCCGGTCCTTTATTGAGTCTTCATTGCCCTCTTCCCCAGGATCAATTTATCATGAGGCTCTGTGCCCTGGGCCCACAACACTTGTGGGAGCCCTTGAAAATGGTTTTGAAGCCGGGCTCGTGGCTCAGCCTGTAATCCCGTGCCTTTGGAGGCTGAGGTGAGTGGATTGCCTGAGCCCGCGGGTTCGAGACCCGCCTAGGCAACTTGGCGAGACCTCATCTCTACAATAAATCAAAAAATTAGCCGGGTGTGATAGCGTGCGCCTGTAGTTCCAGATACTTGGAAGACTGAGGCGGAAGGATCGCCAGAGCCCAGCAGGTCGAGGCTGCGGTGGCCAGGATCGGCCACTGTACTCCAGTCTGGGCGACAGAGTGAGACTCCAACTCAAAAAGAAAAAGAAAAAAAAAAAAAGAAAATGGTTTTGATTTCTTTTAAAGTCAGAAGGAAAAAAATGAACCTTTAGATGGGAGGGGATGCTCTAATATATGTTAATATATTCATCTTTATACCAACATGTAGTAAAACAACTTTTTTTTTTTTGAGTTGGAGTCTCACTCTGTCCATCCAGGCTGGAGGGCAGTGGCATGCTCCTGGCCACCACAGCCTTGGCTTGCTGGGCTCTGGCAATCCTTCTGCCTCAGCCTTCCAAGTAGCTGGAACTACAGGTGTGTACTACCACGCCAGGCTAATTTTTTATTGTAGAGACGAGGTCTCGCCAAGTTGCCCGGATGAGTCTCCAACCAGTAGGCTCAGGCAATCCTCTCATCTCGGCCTCCCAAAATGCTGATCACAGGCTGAGCCACCGAGCCCGGCCTACTTTCCTTTTTTCAATAGAGAAAGGGGCACACCAGGTGAAAGTGCCTCTGGCCTCCACAGTCATGACATGGCCCGCTTGTTCCTCCAGTCTCACCTGTCCCTTGCTTACTCCTACCAAGCAGGCAAGGAAGTATCTGATTATTCTCAGAAAGTCCAGAAGAACTGGAGTGCTGAGGATTTCAGCCTGGGCTCTACCACCTCCCTAGCCTGGGCCCTTGGGCCAGCCACTGCCCTCTGAGCCTCAGTTTTCTCATCCGTAAAATGAAGACAGCAGTACCCATCCTATGTGAATGGCATTTTGTGAGCCAGAATCCTGGGCACACAAATGTGAGGGGCTGTTCTGGGATGACAGGCACGGGGTTGGTCGACTGCACACCTCAAGGACCTGCATGGGAGACAAGGAAGCAGCCCGGGCCGGCACCATGCACTCTCCAGGCCTCAGCGTTTCCAGCAGGGGTGGAAGGAAGGGGCAGCTTCCTGCTCTGATGTAGCAGGACGTGTGAGCTGCTCTCCACTGACAAATGCACCAGGGCCTGCTGGCTTTGGCTGTACAGCGTTTATTGCAAACAACATCTGAAGTATGAGAAGCTGACCCAGAACCTTTGCCCGCCCAGGCTGGGGCAGTGTCTGCTCGCCCCACGCCAGGCCCGGGGCACTGTGGGCCCAAAGCAGCCCCTGAAGGACAGAGGGGCCCTGTGCCCTGAGGTAGCTGCATCTTAACCCCACAGGCGCCACTCCCCAGGGATGCCCAACTCCCAACAGCCCCGAACCTGGAGGGGCGGACAGAGAAGCAGACAGGAGAAACCCTGGCTTCAGGTGGAGCACACCCTGTGCCCCAGCGAACATCCAGCCTCTCAGGACAGACCCCTTCCTGCTGGCCCACCCAGGGGCAGTCCCGCCTGCCAAGGAAAGTGGGTGGCCACCAAGGCAGGGGTGGTGGAGCTGGCAGTCACTGCTGCCCCAGGCAGTCTTCGGTTGCACCCTGGGCCGCCAGCTCGGCCAGCACGTTCTGCAGGTAGTTAGGCTCAGGGCAGCCATGGCCCGTCACGTTGCGGTCCACCTCTGTCTTGTGGTGGATCTCGTTCCACACCACGGTGTCGGTCTCGCCCGTGGTGCTGGGCGTCCCTACTGTGAAGATGAGTCGCCTCTTCCAGGCCACGTTCAGGAGCTCCAGGACCTGCCCCAGAAGGAAGGGAAGCGGGCAAAGGGGAGGAGACGAGGAGGAGGGGCCCAGCGAGCGGGCAGGTTCAGGCTTTTCATCCTGCTCCCTCCCAGATGGCCTCACCCCGTCCCTGGCACTTGAGCTCTCTGTGCGGACCCCTCAGAGCTGCTGAGCCAACAGGATCCATACAAGCCTGGGCTCTGACCCACACCTGCTCCACCTCAGTGCTGGGCACTGCTACTCACTTGGTCACCAAGGCAACACCTAGGCCCCATCCTTGAGGCCTCCGTGCTTCCAAAGCCCAGCTGGGCCAGGCACGGTGGCTCACACCTATGACCTCAGCACACTGGGAGGCGGAGGCGAGAGGACTGCCTGAGCCCAGGGGTTCGAGACCAGTCTGCACAACATGGTGAGACCTCGTCTCTACAATAAATGAAAAAATTAGCCAGGTATGGTGGCGCACGCCTGTGCTTCCAGCTACTAGGAGGGCTGAGAAGGAAAGATCACCTGAACCCAGCAGGTCGAGGCTGTGGTGGCCGTGAGCATGCCACTGTACTCCAGCTTGGGTGACAACGTGAGATTTCTACTCAAAAAAAAAGAAAAGCCCAGCTAGACAAAACCCCTCCCCACCTCTGTGGTGGGGTCCAGGTCTCCCTCCCTGCTCCCCGTCTACACTCAGTCATCGAGATCCAGTCCTTTCCACATGGCCAGAGGAGTTTTTCCAGACCTAAGACCAGCAGCTCCGCCTCCTGTGGCTTCAGCCAGTGCTCAGAATCAATCCCAGGGCAGGCCTTCACGTGCCCTCACCATGCAGTTCATTACACCTGAGAGACCATACAGTGTCCTGCCTGCCCGGAAAGCTCGTCCTGACCTTCTCAGAGCTGCTCATCTCTACTCAGGTCTAAGTGCAGACACGACTCCTCAGGTCATCCCGGGCCACTGGGTCTCAAGCGGCCCCCAGTCCCTCCCTGACCCTGAAGAGCTTGTGACCCAGCCGCCAGGCTGCCAGAAGGCAGGCTCCCCTCACTCAGACCCTGTGAGGTCGGGCCCTCCCTCCCTGGACCCACAGCAGGCCCCTGGGAAGGAGCAGCCAACACCCGGCCCGGCCCTTGTCCTGCTGCTGCAGAGGCAGAGCCAAGTGGCTGCCTGGCCTCCTGAAGCTGGATCAGGGCCCTTCCTGTCCCCTGGGTGGGCAGTGGGGCCTTTACCTTGCGGCCCTGGGCATTGTCTGGAAGGTAGCACCGGCGGGAAACCCCCTGGCGGTGAACGGCTTTCCTGGGTTGGGGTGTTCAGGACCCTGCAAGAGGAACAGACACAAGGGGAGAGTGCTCTGAGGCCCCGCCCTCAGTGGCAGGCTTTCGGGTCACGGAGGCCCAGCCTCGTTCCTTGACCTTTCTCATTCTTGAAGTGACCAGAGTCACTTCAAGTGAGCGTGGCCTCCTACCCAAGGCCCTCCCTTGAGCCTGCACCACCCACCTGGCACTAGATGCTGACTTTCTCTTTCCCAGGTGACACCAGGAACACTTCAAAGGCAGGGACAGACCTCTTGTTTCTTTGGTGACCCTCTGGATGTGAGTTCCCTGCCCTGAATGGAAGGGCCGCACCTCCCACACATCAGGCTGCACACCTTCTCCTGAATTGACTGGAGCAGGTGCGTGGGACGGCAGCGGCCGACTGGATGGGAGGGTGAAGGGTTAGGATGGCTGGTGACCTGTTTTCTGCCCTCTGCCACACAGGGACAACTCAAAATCCTCCTCCACTCTGAGGTGCTAACCCTGTCTGGAATGTTTATAAGCTTCCCTCTGAGCCATGGAGAAGTGGAGAGAAAACAGGGGAAAGACACATGGCTCGACAAGGTAAACGGACCTGCTGGCCACGGACGGGCCCCATCAGGCTCCAGTGCCCATGGCTGCCCTGGCTTCCCACCCTGCCCCAGGCTCTGAGATCCACCTGGCCCAAGGTGGGAAACCTAAAGGGCCAGGCTCCCCTCTGGTCTCCACTGGAACCCTGGGGCCTTGCGCTTGGGTTCCTGTCTTCCAGACAAGGCCTTGGCACTCCCAGCTCAGGCCTGAGTCCGGGCACGTGGCTGGTCCTGCTCCACTCCTCAGCCCCCCACCCACACTCTGCCCACTGGAGCGTTCTTCGATGTATACTCTGCCATGGGAACCCAATTCTCCAGCCCCTCAACACGGGGTTCCTTCTGCTTGGTCTTCTGCCCAGCATAATCCCAGCTGAGATGTCCCTTCCTCCAGAAAGCCTTCCCCAGGTCAGGAAAAGGGCGGAAGGCCACCTCTTTGCTTCCACAGCCTGACGAGCTTGCCCTAACCCTCAGCACAACTCCTGACTCCTGGCCCTCCCCATCCATGGCTCCAAAGGACGTTGGGAGCCTGAGCTTGGCAGTCGAGGTGTCCTCACCCCTGACCCAAGGGGCTGACTTTGGGGAGAGGGGTGAGGTCGGAGGAGAAGAGCCTGGGATTGACAGACTCCAGAAGGGTCCCTAGAGGCTGCCCTCACGCCGGGTTCCCCTCACCTGGATGCCGTGAGGAATGTGATAAGCTATGAGTATGGTCCCACAGCCCTCATGGCCTGGGAGTGACATCTGGAACCGTAACACCTCCATCTTCCCCCGGGGCTGGGTTCCCGTTTTCTCTCCATAGATGGTCTTGCAGGAAGGGCCTTGCAAACTTCCATCCTGAGTTAAGGCAAACACAACAGATGGAGCTGGTGGCCCTGAGAGCACCTCGTCACCTCCAGGTCTAGATGGAAAAAGCAGGCCAGCCTGCTGTCTCCCCTCCCTAAACCCAGGTTCAGCAGTTTTCTCAGAAAGCTAAGTTTTAGACCAGAAATTCGTTGCACAATTTCCATTAAAGGGGTGAGATAACAGGAGACTGGCAGCAAGCAGGAAAATTAGGTCCATGAATAAAAGTCTCCAGTTGAATCATGTTTAAAATCAACAGAAACCCTGTGCTTCATCTGCTGGTGCTACGGAACAGCACAGGAATACTGGACAGAGAGTCCCAACCAGGCGGGGAAGGCGGTCATAGGACTTGGTTCTCTTATCCTCCCCCAGCCTGTCCATTCCCGCTCAACTCCACGGAAGGCAGAGCAGCTGAGTGGGACTCTTCCCGTGTTGGGTGGCCTGGGTGCCGCTCAGCTCTGCCTGGAAGCCTGGCTCTTCACCTGCCAGTGGGGTGGCCTGGACACAGTCCCCTTTCTGAGCCTTGTCCTCAACAGCACCATGTCGACTGCACAGAGATGTTGCAAGGAAGATGGGAGACCAGACGTATGAAGTACTTATCAGCAGCCAAGGTAGGATGGGAGCCTGCTACTCGAGAAGCCCAGGATCTCCCAGAGCCTGGCTGGAGAAGCTGGGGGGCCCCTCTGCCGGAAGCACGGAGCAGGCCTTGGAGAGCCAGCTGGGCCTCCAGAAAGGCCTCTAAGTCAACTCGACACCCAGGACCGTCTTTCGTCCAAGCCGCGGTCCCACAGCCACCTCCGCCCCCCAGCTGCAGGCCAGTCACGTACACCCTGTTCCCACTGCAGTACATGACCAGCAGGCATAGCAGGTGGAAGGCATGGCTGCACTTGGTGAGGCGGCCACAGCCACGGGCCCGAGGGCCTTGCGTCAGTCACATGGCTGTACCCAGACGCCACGGCCTGTCTCTCCACACAGATGATGCAGTCCTGGAGGGAGACCAAACCCAGGGCAGCTTGCCAACAGTCGGCGGGGCTGAAACAGGGAGTCTCGTAGAAAAAGGCTTTCATCTGCTGAAACACCGGAATTATGCTCAAAGTCAATTCAGTAGTGTGTGTTCCAGAGGCTGGGAACACAGATGAGTCACCGGGCTCTGTGTCCTGAAAGGGCTTACAGGAGCACGGGCCCAAGATGGCCAAGCAGGGCAGGCTCCCGGGCCAAGGCCCTCGGAGCTGGGTCTCACAGGGGAGACAAGAGTTGTCACGATGACAAGTGCAGAACAGGCAAGCCAGCAAGAGGGAAGAGAATGTTCTGCAACATGCATCAGCACGTGGGCACCTAAAGGAGGCAAGGCGCGGGTGAGGGCAGGAGATGAGAGCTGGGAGAGGACCAGATGCCATGCTCAGGGGTGGGGCTTCACCTTGTGAGTCAGGGGGTCCTGTTGAGGGGTTTCAAGCAGGGAGTGGCCCCACACTCTGAGCTGTAGGTGGCTCAGTAGGCAGCAGCTTGGACAGAAGGAGTCATATGAGCACAAGGGCAAGGAGAGAGAGACCTGAGTGCTGGGGAGGAACACGGCGAGGGCATGAGGAAGCAGTGGGCACACGAGGGCTTCCATCCAAACCCTCACTAACCAGATTCTTTCATGTACTCAACTTGCAGGGGAAAGAAGCAAGTGAAAGGAGATCTCAGTTCAGTGCTGGCACGCCTGACCTTTAACCCGCCCCTCCAATATCTCCGGACTCTGTTCAAATTGGGGAAAAGTGTGCTGCAGCCCTCAAAACATGGCTCAGCCAGCCTGGGCAACTTGGCGAGACCTTGTCTCTACAATAAATCAAAAAATTAGCCAGGTGTGGTGGCGCATGCCTATGGTTCCAGCTACTTGGAAGGCTGAGGCACAAGGATCACCTGAGCCCGGCAGGTTGAGGCTGTGGTGACTATGAGCGTGCCACTGCACTCCAGTCTGGGCAACAGAGTGAGACCCCCCCCCAAAAAAAAGTGGCTCAGCAGAAAGGTTCAGGTTCAACGGAAGCTGCAACAAGAATGTGGTTGGTCTGTGAATTACAGGAACCCTGACCAGCTCTCCCATAGCTAGAGGGGCAGGATGGCCTCACTTCTTATACCACCATCAGCCCAGGGGAGTGGGGCAAACTCACTCATCCCTTGTCTCCAGGACCCTGGCCCCAGGAAGCCTGCGGCCTGCCACAGAGGCCAGGGCCAACAGAGGAAGAGCTTTGCTCAGGACTGCAGCTCCATCATAGTGGAGCTCAGACCAGAACGATGCGGGTCTCGGCAGCCATGGCCGCCTCCAACGGGAGACCAGGAGATTCAACCAAAGTGCCTGGAGCATGGCCTCTGGTACCCAGAGGCACCTGGGAAGTACCTTTGAGTGAGAACAGGCAGGTGCCATTTCCATCTGGAGTAAGCCCTTGTTTCCAACCAAAACAAAAGCAGTCTGGCTCCTGGGACACATACCTCATCAGGAGGGGGGGTTTCAGCTCTTCGGTGTAGTTTCTTATCACCTGCTCTGGCTCTGGCTTTGGAGTCCCTCCTAGAAGAGAGAAAAACATAAGCAGTGTCCCAAGGAGTAAAAACTGGAGAGGAGCCAGAGAGGAAGGAAGACAAGGAGATTCCAAGCTGCCAGGAGGAAACATTAGGAGGGCCAAGACGCAGAGGGTTAGCGGGCAGGACAGGAGAGCCTCAGCGCCAGGCACAGAACACTCCAGGGCTCTGCCGGGCAAAGCCCATCCAGGCCCAACTGCGTGGGGGCCCGGCCCTGCCCCAGGAGCCCTGGAAGATGCAGAAAAGGGGCAGAAACAGAGCAGCACGTCTCTCAGGAGCTGCATCCCAGTGCATATTCAGTCAGGAAGCTGACCCAGGCTCTTCTGAGGATGCCCAGGAGTCAAACAGCAGCTTTGAGAACAAATTACTCTGGAAGATGTCCTGGCTGCATTATTTCATTACTCTTGTATGAACAGTTCAGCGAGAAGGAAGTTTTGAGTCCAGTTTGTACCATGGGCCCACCCCACGTGAGCATCTGCATGCACGTCGACTACAGACGCCAGCTACACTGCCACTGCCATGGGAAGCAGCCTGCCTCTGACTGCGAGGATCTCAGTCACATGCTGACTGGAGGCTAAGTTAAGCGACTCTGGGCGTGGCCGTGATGCAGCAGGACCACCTGACTGCCACACTTGTCTGTGCATATGTGCGTGGAGCAGGGGACTGCATCGCCATAAATACCCAACCCTGCACCAAACAGGTCCCCTCGAGAACCAGAAACTCCCCCAACTGGTCAGAGAATCAGCACAGTCCAGGGGCTTCTCCAAGTGGCAAGAGGAGCAGGATCACAGGGGCACAGCCAAGCCCGTGTGGGAGGCCAGCACAGCCCTGAGGAAGTGCTCCTGGCCGGGGCCAAGGCATGGCGGGACTACTGCTCCCAACTGAGACAAGAAGGGGCTCTGTTTGAACCCAAGCTCACGGTCACCAGGCAGGAGCTGCAGATGTAGAAGCCTAAAGGCTCACCGGCTGAATTCCCTCCAGACCAGAGAAGGCCAGGTTACAGTTTTGTGGGGAGGTGGCTTGGTGGAACAGAGGCTGAAATCAGGGCAGTTTGATTCTAGTCTCTTGCTGTAACCAAATCCTATCACCTCTGAGCCTTGGTTCCCTCATCTCCAAAGTGGAAGCCTAATACCTGATAAAGCTGCAATCGCAGTCACAGCACTGGCTGCCACTTCCCAAAAGGCAGCTACTCATAAAGGAAGGCCACCACTCACCCACACACTCCCAACCTAACACCACCACACACACAGCCCCACCCCTGCACCCATACGGAATTCCAGGATCCACATTCTGGCCCCTATGATGAGAAAGCCAGACCAGAACACTGACCACTGACTCAGGGTGGTCATGGTAGCTGCAATACCCTACTCAGGCTGGGGGAGCCTACTTTTCCAAAAGCCTGCTGGCTCCAGAACTGTCTCCAGGTGTGCCCGGGACCCCCATCTGTCAGGACCTGCCAGCTCCTGAGCCTGGTAGCTTAAGCCCTTCCTGGGCAAACCCAAGTGCCACAGGAGGTTGCTGGCCTGATCCACCCTGCCCATGGATCCGTCTTCTCCTCCAAGGCAGGGGGAAGAGTGGAATGTGCAGAACCCTGGGCTGCCCTCCCTGGGTCCACCCTCCTTGTCTGTGGGCTGAGGGTTGGACGAGATGATGGACACGAGCAGAGCAGCCACTGTCACTATGTGCCAGCCGCCTCACGTTTCTACTTTCTATTCCTCACCAAGCAGTCTGCTAAGTAGGAGTCCCTGGCTCACGAATGAAGAAAACCTGCATAAAATCACAAAGCCAGCAAGGCCGGCAGAGCCACGGCACGCTCCCGGCACACTGCCACACCAGGTCAGAGGGCATCTGGGCTCGCAGCAGCCCACCCTTCTATGGCCTAGCGGTGAAGGCAGAGAAAGGTTCAGCTTGAGAAAGGTTCAGAGCTGACGACTTCAGGCCTCTCCACACAAGCCCTGTTCAAGCTCCCAGCACCTTCCTTGACTCTGAAACCCTTCCTTCCCTGGCCACGCAACAACAGGCAGGGCAGCGGTCATCAGGGAGAGCCCTCTCCACGGACCACGGGGTAGGACAGACGCTGGGCAGCCCTCTGGGGGTCTTGCCTGAGACACGCCTGGCCCCAGCGGAAGGGACAGTCGTTCCCCATTCCAAACGAGGCCCCGCCTTTCACCCATTCCCTGGTGATCGCAAGGACATGAGGTGTCAAGAACAAGGCCCTCCCTTCCCGGCTGTGTCAGAAAGAGAGCCGCTGAACTCTGGGTCTTGGGTGCGAAGTCAGGCCCAGAAGCCCCCTCTGCTGCTGGGCAAGGGCAGGCGCAAGGGCCACGGGGCGTGGGCCCGGCAGCAGTCAGCGCAGGCCCGGGCAGCGTTGGGCGGGCC